CTTCTATAGCTTCGTACAGAGAAACGATTGTATAATTTGTATGCTGCGACGGAGGAAGAAGCCAAGAAATGGATATCTAAATTACAAAGCTTGGATACGTAGAGCTTCCACGATCCAATCAGGAATTTCATTATAATCAAAAGAAATGTTGTGCATATGTGAAATATTTTAACATTTTAGAACGCATATTTAGGGTAATTTATGTATGTATTTTAATTTTTTTAAATAATAGTATCATTTTGAGACACGCACAGGTTTCAAATAAACATGACTGAAATAACCAATACGAATTTTCGTTGTATTTCCACATGTTATAAAAATAGTGTGACACCAGATATAATCAGTGAAGCTATTTATTTTTCATCAATTACGTATTTTAACAATAAGAGTCTCACTACTATCAAACGGTAGGCTAACGAGTTTAACTTATCTGCTCAGTCTGAACCGTACCCCGAGTCTAGTGTACGTGATTCCAACAATGATTCACAATAGGTTTTCCAAACAGATTAAAGGTACAGAAGTCAAAAGGCTTAGTTGATGTCTCCAAGACTTGTAGGGTGTTCTTTTGTCAACGTACACCGCCGTATAAGTTATCTTCAATTTGCTGTGCCTCGTAAATTGTCCTCAATAAGTTGTACCCTGTAAGTTGTTCTCATGCAATATAGTTAAATTACTTACATATATATATATATAATAATGCCACAATAAAAACCAGAATAAAAACTTCTGTGCAGTTCTATAAAATATGCTCACTCATGCAAGAAAGCTTCTAGATTTCCTTCTAATAATGACTATAGATTTCTATTGAATTACCTGGATGAGGAAAATGGCTTGTGTGCAGCTGGTCGAAATATAATGGAGGACGTGAAGACTCTCGTTTACATTGTGTTAGTAGAACATATTAGCGAATCTTAATAATATGAAAAGTCGCTGGAGGAGGTTGCGTTCTGACCTTTTAGCAAAGTTTTAGGAAAATTGTATCAGCCGGCATTTCAATATTATGCTAAAAATATATCAGCATTTACACTCTTTCTGTGCAATTTATTTATAAATAACATTTAATTATAAGTACTAGATAAATGATCAAAGTATTAAAGCGTGCATATGCACTACGATAAAAACATCGCAAAGTTATAATTCAAATATACACCTAATGTTTTGCTCAATCAATGTTCACTATATTATTTTAAAATGTTATGATTAACAACAATAAAAATCATATGGTGTAATACCCTTGTTTTACATAACAATATACACCTACGAAGGTTCAAATTCCTTTGCATAAAAACATTTATTATACACGGAATTGAAGGATGCGTATGATGTTTTTATGAGATGAGTTTAAGAAATTTGAAGTCGCTATCAGTTCAAGGTATGTTAACAAAAAATAAATAAAGTTGTAATTACTATACGTCATAGATGATCGGTTATTTTATCTGTACTATTAATGATTTCGTACTTTGAATATATTCAAGGCTTGCTTTAATTCTCAAGCGTTAAAATTTTTACAAAACCAATCGTACTCAATAAACATTTAAAAACTATTTGTCGTGCGTTCCTTTAAAGCAGTGAGTTATGATTAAAGGGAAACATGATTGGACGATTTTAAGTTTTGAATGCAGACAGGGAGTCGGACGATTCGACGATTTAAAAATCAATAAAAATTATTCTTAACATGAATTTATAGATATAACAAAATAAGGCCAAATTAAGCGTTGTATTTATTTGTCTTCTGATATAAATTTGAATCCACCACTGAATGACTAGTATATAGCGTAGACACACTATAGATTAATTTTGACTGAATTTTATGTATTTCAAAAATATAATATTTTGTTTGAGCTTTTACACTGAGCCTTTTCAATGTCTTATTTGCATACGACGACATGTGAATTATATATAATTTAGATAAACTACTTCATGGTATGTGAGCGCGTACGATTTAAAACTCAACGTAGACAATTCCGTTCTTACGAAGGAACTTAATTGCTTTGTATTTTCCGTTGTTCCTTTTCTTTTGGACCGAAATGTAATGTATTTCCCGAGATATTCACGAAGTTGATTGTCGGAATTGGAATTTTATTTATTTCAGCAATAAAAATTCTTGAAGAAGTCTATACCCGTATACTAAAAGCTCACTCACATTCATATATATTGAGAGCGACATAAAAATCACACTCTATCTAATCATCAGCAAAGTCATTTCTCCATCTATGGCAAGATTTTCTCCTAGATATTTCAAATCAAGCAATCAGTTGAGAGAAATTGAGCTTTGAATATGCATGAAGTGCTTTCGAAGCCCCACTCATTGACTGTGCAATGTTTGGCATATTTTCCGTGTGCATGCGTTGAATTCACCGTTTTTCTGGCTAGTAACTTGACGACTGTGTACTATATTGTAATAAAAAAAAAGATTTTTGAATATTTGTCATCTCATATTGGTAAGATGGCGAAAGGTTGTAAGAAAACAGGAAAGATATATAAGATATATATATAGCGAGAGCTCATAATTTCATTGCTAACAAGTACGTAAATGCTTGTTCTTTGGTAAATTCGAACGTTTCAACGTAGGGTATAGGTTTGTAAATATTGTTATGTTAACGAAAGTCGAAAATAGAATCTCTTATGTTTTCGTTTCTTCTAAATTATATAAATTCAAATTAATTGAGGTGTACGTATGAGGTATTATTTACTACAAAGACTAACGAGTGCCGGAGTGCAAAACGTACTTGTACAAACGTCGTAATATTACATGTTGCAACATGCATGTCAACTTTCTAAACTTACGATAAAGTAACCATTCACTGAATCTAATAATGATTCATGAGGCGTTTTTGTGAAGAGACCGTTCATTTTAAGTAAAATACAAGTTTACGCCAATAAGAGTGTATTCATTTTAACGTACCGAGAAAATAACAGAAGTAATGACTCTTATTCGAGACTGACTTTATGAATTTATTAGCAATATTTGAAATGTAACAGATGTTCGCCACACATTAATTAAGCACCAGTTAACATTTAAATGCGTAATAACAGAGTTGCGTTGGGATCTTTTGTTATCACAGGAACGTTTACAGACGTACTTCCCTCAATATCAAGGAGAATGATATTTGGTTCTAAATATCCATCATCAATATAATTATTGGAGACGTTTAAACTAAATAGTCCTCATGAATTTAAAGTGTGCTTTCTTTCCACATTTGATTTTCGTTGCCTGAAGAAATTGCATCAGCTTGAATCGTTACTTTTCCAAGGCTGAATCATTTTTTAATTCTAGTGAACGGAATATGTTCATAGCAATATGTGTTTACCAAGTTTAAAATTCCTCTTGTATATCTTTTATACTTTCATGCATCTCAAATGCAAATGGAATGTAAAGAAACAGTAAAATACTACAAATATATAAAACATAAAATGTAAATTAGTAAACATTTTTCTGTCTATAAAGAGTCCTACATTTTTGCAAAATCATTATTACCGATTCGTTGATATAATTATTAACAAATAAAGCCGCAGCTAAAGCTATATGCTTCACAAAACGCGGTGGTTTTCCAAGTAAAAAAACTCGGTCTTTTTTTAAAACTAAAATAAAATTTTGACAAAGCAACAACGACGACAAACATCTTCGTGCAAATCCAGTACACGGTCAAACTTCGAACTCGTACTTGAATTAAGTCGCACAGTATAATAGTACACACTTACTAAAGCTCACTATTGACGCTAGAACATCACATTAAACACTACTTAAAAGTGTATTATTAACACATAGAACATGCTGAGCTAACTGCGTCAAAATAGCAGAGTGGGAATAAACAAAGTTGTACCAGATTATTATTTTCTTTTCCACCAGTACAAGATTAAAAGACCAAATAGGAATGACGGCGGATAACGTTTACCAACGTAGATTTTCCAATATTTTGGTTTCGCGACTTTTTTAATAATCAAAAATATACGTCATGGTTAGAACAAGTTTGTAAATATCGATCGTCCAGGTTGGTATAGTCCTGAGAAGGACTGTTTTTGTTGTTGTTGACTGACGTTTCGACAACCTTTGTGGTAGTAAACTTCAGAGTCAAATGGATATTTGACTCTTGGATACTATAAATGGATATTTGACTTCATTTGACTCTGAAGATGACTACCGCTAAGGTTGTCGAAACGTCAGTCAACAACAACAAAAACAGTCCTTCTCAGGACTATACCAACCTGGACGATCGACATTTACAAACATGTAGCGATACTCCTGGGTTCAAACCATTTACTTTATTATGGGCAGAACAAGTTATTCAATTCAATTTGAAATCAAAATGTTTCCTATGGCCATGAAATGTTGGCGTTTGTCTCCATTTAAAAACTGTCCGTGCAAGAATCTAATTTGTCGTATCGTCGCATGTGTTATCGGGTTTCTTTTTTGTGATACCTACAGAAACTATATAACCAGTCTTTTATCAGATCAGAGAGTTAACTGTTATTTGGCTTTATAAATGTTTCAGAATTGTCAAGGCAGGCCATAGATGGTAAACATTAAAAATTAAAATAATAATAAATAAAAACGAAGTAAACCTATATTGCCTATTTGTTAATAATGAAAAGTACATGAACTTTAATAAATTTTTCTAGCGGTGGAAATGTCAGAAAGATAATGAATTTCAAATACAATTATTTTAAATTCAAAAAAGAATCACAACAGCAAAATGACGCTAAGATATCAAGCAAACATGGCATGGAGTATTACAAAATCGGAAAATACGAAAAAGCTAAGAAATGTTTTAAGAAATGTCTCGAAAGTCAGAAGACCTTACTAGGTGATGAACATGTTGATGTAGCTACGACTTTAAACTATCTTGGTAATGTGTATTATGAGACCAACAAATATGCCAAAGCCAAAGAGTTTTACGAAAAAGCGTTGGAAATTCGAAAGAAATCACTTGGTCCAGAACATGTTGATGTGGCTGCGACTTTAAACAATCTTGGCAATGTTCATTATGATGCCAACAATTATGCCAAAGCCAAAGAGTGTTATGAAATAGCGTTGGAAATTCGACAAAAATCACTTGGTCCTGAACATGTTGATGTAGCTACGACTTCAAACTATCTTGGTAATGTGTATTATGAGACCAAGAAATATGCCAAAGCCAAAGAGTGTTATGAAAAAGCGTTGGAAATTCGAGAAAAATCACTTGGTCCAGAACACGTTGATGTAGCTGTGACTTTAAAAAATCTTGGCATTGTTTATTATGATATCAACAAATATGCCAAAGCCAAAGAGTGTTATGAAAAAGCGTTGCAAATTCAACAAAAATCACTTGGTCCTAAACATGTTCATGTGGCTAAGACTTTAAGCGATCTTGGTAGTATGTATCTTTGTACTAAAGAATATGACAAAGCAAAAGAATCATTTGATAAAGCGCTAGAAATTCAACAGAAATCACTTGGTCTTGAATATGTTGATGTAGCTACGACTTTAAACAATCTTGGCAATGTGTACCATCGTACTAAAGAATATGACTTAGCAGAAGAATTATTTAAAGAAGCGTTGAAAATTCAACAAAAATTACTAGGTTCTGAACATGTTGACGTAGCTAAGACCTTAAACGATCTCGGTAATGTGTATGATGAGACCAACAAATTTACCAATGCCAAAGAATGTTACAAAAAAGCGTTGCAAATTCGAAAAAAATCACTAGGTCTTGATCATGTTGATGTGGCTACGACTTTAGATAATATTCGTATGGTGCTCAAAAAGCCTGAAGACTATACCAAATCAAAAGAAGTTTATGAAAAAGCCCTGGAAATTCGAAAAAATTTTCTAAGTCCAGAATATGTTGATATGGCTAAGATTTCACACGATCTTGGTAATGTGTATCTTTGTACTAAAGAATATGACAAAGCAAAAGAATCATTTGAAATAGCGCTGGAAATTCGACAAAAATCACTTGGTCTTGAACATGTTGATGTGGCTGCGACTTTAAATAATCTTGGCAATGTATACCATCGTAGTAAAGAATATGACAAAGCAAAAAAATTATTGAAAAAAGCGTTGGAAATTCAACAAAAATCACTAGGTCCTGACGATATTGATAAAGCAAAAACTTTAAACAATCTTGGTAATGTGTACCATTGTACTAAAGAATATGACAAAGCAAAAGAATTTCATGAAAAGGCGTTGGAAATTCAACAAAAATCACTAGGTCCTGAACATGTTGATGTAGCTACGACTTTAAACAATATTGGTAATGTGTACCATCGTACTAAAGAATATACCAAAGCCAAAGAGTGTTATGAAAACGCGTTAGAAATTCGAAAAAAATCACTTGGTCCTAAACATATTGATGTAGCTACGACTTTAAACAATCTTGGCAATGTTTACTATCGTACTAAAGATTATGACAAAGCAAGAAAGTTATTTAACAAAGCGTTGGAAATTCAACAAAAATCACTAGTTCCTGAAAATGTCGATATAGCTACGACTTTAAACATTCTTGGTAATGTGTATTATGAGACCAAAAAATATGCCAAAGCCAAAGAGTGTTATGAAAAAGCGTTGGAAATTCGAAAAAAATCACTTGGTCCTAAACATGTTGATGTGGCTACGACCTTAAACAATCTTGGTAATGTGTATTATGAGACCAAGCAATATGCCAAAGCCAAAGAGTGTTATGAAAAAGCGTTGGAAATTCGAAAAAAATCACTTTCTCCTAAACATGTTGATGTGGCTACGACTTTAAACAATCTTGGTAATGTGTATTATGAGACCAAGCAATATGCCGAAGTCAAAGAGTGCTATGAAAAAGCGTTGGAAATTCGAAAAAAATCACTAGGTCCTGAACATGTTGATGTAGCTACGACTTTAAACAATTTTGGTAATGTGTATTATGAGACGAACAAATATGCCGAAGCCAAAGAGTGTTATGAAAAAGCGTTGGAAATTCGAAAGAAATCGCTTGGTCCAGAACATGTTGATGTGGCTGCGACTTTAAACAATCTTGGCAATGTGTACCATCGTACTAAAGAGTATGACAATTTTGGCAATGCGATTCGTCCCACTAAGCTATGTGACAATGCAAAAGAATTTAACGAAAAAGTGTTGGAAATTCGACAAAAATCTGTTGCTTCGGATCATGGTGTTTTTACTGAATCTTCGAACAGTATTGGTATGTTATTCTTTATTTTTGTATATTTTAGCATATATAAGCGTTTCTAAGTGTAACCTTTGAGGTTTTTGAAATTTTTAGACAAAATTTTTTAAGCCTTGTGTGTTTACAAATCATGAGTTCTTCTCGCTGTAAATTTTGGGGGGTAAAAACTACCCTTAAAGTTAGGGGTGAAATGAGTGCCACAGAATGCCCCGGTTTTGATGGGTAACATTTTATGGGGGTAATATTTATTTAAAGGTGAAATTTATGGTGGTAATATATAGTTAGGTGTAAATTCTATTAAGGGGTGAAATTTGTCAAGGGGTAAAATTTATGGGGGTAAATTTTAAAGGGGTGATTATGATGGACATGCAATTCCCCCATAAATTGGGGAAAAAAAGAAATTACATAGAATGCTGCATTTATTAGGGCACATGTGCAAATACAGGAGGTAATGCTTTAATGGGGTTAAAACGAACTCTAAAACTATAATAAGAATAAATTAAAATAGATCAAAAAAACAATCTCTTTATTTCAACAGAAAAGGAATGAGCGTAGCTATCTCGAGAATGGAGTGAAGGGTGGCAAATATTAAAAATGCGCGTTATTATCAATAAAAAAGATTAGATTCAAGGAAAAGTATCGAGGTTCAACATGCAAACATAACTACTCAACCATTGACAGAGTATTGGCAAACATAAACACCCTACCAACGGCAGAACATTGATAATTGGGAGGGGGGGGGGAATTCATATATTCATATGTTATAATTCCTAAAACTAATAAATTTCAATGTAAAGTAGAACGGGCACAAATTAATAATAGCGCCCCCCAATTTTTAATAATCCGCCGCCCTTGAGTATTCCCCTCAACAATTAAGCTGGCTACGCCAACATAAAACATGAGTACACCGTAACAGAAAAAATGGTCTAAATGTCCAGTGTAATGGTTTAAATGTTCACTTAATGCTTACTTTAAACTGGCAAGACCTTTAATAACTTTTTGCAAGCTAATTCTATTGATAGCATTGTGCTGCAACCCAACAAAAACGGAATCAATAAAAAGAAATACATCCTTATGATCTTGTGGATAAGCTATAGAAAATACATAGTATGTTGCATAGAACGTAAAAAGGACTGTGTCTAAAGGAAATGAAGTTACGTCAACGAGTTGTCGTCCTTCGACGCACAATAGTAGCCTGTCAGTCCTCAGTATGTTTTCACCAATAACCAAAACTCGTGGATAGGTGGTGCGGGTTATTTTGTTCGGTAAATCATCATCTTCCTAAAACATACATAAAAAGAAAATGCTTCATTGTTTGAAAGTTGCCTCGATGAATGCACTGTATGGAAAACGTAAATATTACCCTTTAGTCAATTACCCATCTGAAGGTAGTAAATATTACCCTGAACAAAGATAACTTTTACCCCCTAAAATTTACAGTGCTTGCATTATGTTTGGCTAGATCTAAACAGAAAAGACAATTTTAGGAATATTTATAAAATTAGTTAAAGCTGTTTCTTGTGAATTTCGGATTCATTTAAAGTATTAATCTTATTTTAGGTCGTTTAACCAACTTAAGCATTTATCTATTCTAGTTATAGTCAATTTGTAGAGCTATCTTAAAATAGATAAAAACTATTTTTTTCTTAAAGTTTGATGCAAATCGAGAACAATGTAATGCACTTCAATATATATTTGGGAGCAAAAATATTTTAAATCTCTTTTAACATATGAATAAAACTAAACTAAAACTATACTAGTAAGAAGCAACGACATATGCAACTGAATTTTGTTTTTGGTAAATTTTTCATTGTTTTCTTTCCATCTTATGTTTTGTTATGTGGTTTGCAATTTAGGGCTAGAAACTAGTTAGAGCCTTTTCATTCTAATTCTTTCTAAGCTGATATGCCTAATTACAATTTTTTTGACTTTTCACTGGTTCATATATTTTTCTTTTTTAAGTATCTGCTTTTTACTTACTTATTATAAACGTATGCTTTAAAAAAATCTCAAGTTATCTATTTAAATTATTTTTGCTTTTTCCATAGCTACAAGGCTGGGGAAAGTTATTTTTAGTACAAATATATTTTGTTTGTTTTATATATGACAAGTTAAAAAATTTTCTAATAAATGCTATTGACTTTTGCTCGTAAAATCTAGAGAAAGTATACAACTTAAGTAAAAATCAGGACATAAATAAAGTTTTACATTTTTTAAGATTTTTTATTTTTAATATTTTAGAAAAATACTAGATTTACAATACTTGATTTTAAAAAACTTCTTTATTACTACAAAAACCTAGATTGATATATATCTTTGTTCTTAGAAAGAACGTGTAGCTAAATTCTAATAATTTACTTGAAGAATTAATTCTTGGTTTTTTCTTTTTTATTTAATCCAGTAAACTTTATAAACACCTCTTAACTCGGTCTTTCCCTAGAAACATATTCATTATAAAAAGCACTCTTCTATTTTACCTATGGTTCACTTGCTCTATTTTTATATCTTTTTCAAAGAAATAAGGCCTGATGATACTGCTGATGCTAAATCCCCTTCAAATTTACACGTTCATATGGAGAAAATAGAAGGTATGCTTATTATATTAGAATGTAAATATACAAAATTTAGAGCTTTATTAGATGAACTCTTTAATAGTCAAAAAGAGGGGAAATCGTGATACTACCTGGAATCTAGATCAAGTTGTTTCCATTGATTCCTTAAATTATCTTTAACTTTTGCTTATAAATATTGTTCAATGTTATAACACTAAGCGGTTAGAACATTTTGCAATCTCAGATAACGCGAAACGTTGCAAATTTTAGTGTTATTTTTAGGTAAACATATGCTACTTTTGTGACATTAAGATACTTTAAAAAACCAGCATTGATTATAACAAATTTTATATGCAAAACCTCACACGTAAAACTCATCCAGGTATCTCACTTTTCCCTATTCCTTCCCAAGTGTCGACGCTGCAACACGTCGCATGTTGGTCAAACCACACGCTATCTTCAAACCAGAAACTCAGAGCACCAGGGAATTTCGCTCCTGACAGTAAAACAGTCATTATGCCCTACAAAATGCAGCATCCTGTCTCACATCAACATGTCAGGTCACACAGCTTCCTTTGACGACTTCACTATCATCTCATCCTCACCTTAAACTCCTGACTTAATAATCCATGAAAGTCTCCTGATCTCATATCTAACACTTACACTGAATGTCCAAAGCAGTTCCATCCCACTCGAACTTTTCTAAATAACCCACTACGTTTTGCGTCCATTTCACACTCCATATCATTATCTTCACTCATGCTTTATATAATATTTTTATACAGATATATTATGTTCATCACACCTCACTGTATTTCTACACTCATAATTACATTCTTATATGTAAACATAAACGCACACTTGATCATTTACTTACTTGTCTGATGATGTTTTGTGTAAAGACGATACTTTCAAACAATAATCAATTTCTTAAAAAAATGGCTTCATTTCGAATTTTGAGTTGGGAAATCATCAGCATTGCCTGAAAATTTATAGCTACGTACCGTATGCAGTTTAAATGATGCAAAAAATTACGAATCAATTTTACTGTAGCAAAACGCACTGTGATAAAACTTCCAAAGTAGATCACATAAATTTGGTGTTAGCATTTTGACACATTACTGCTGAAACACTATTATATTGTTAACCATAGTTGTACTAAAATCAACATGACAAACATTTGAGGTTATTTTAATAAGTCTAATGCTATGTATATCTATATAGTTGATGTAGAATGTCCAAAATTTTCTTCCAAAGTAAAAAATGCTATTAACTTGCTTCTAAATGTGCGTTTTTTTTGCAGAAATTAAACAAATTCTGCTAGAGTTTGCCAAAGAAATTCCTGATAAATGGAAGGATTTGGCAAGATTGCTGAATGTCAGCGATGCGAAAATAAAAGAAATTGAACTAGATCATCGTAAAGTGGCCTGGCAAGGGTTTGAAATGCTAAAGTTTTGGTGGGATAATCGAGAAAAGAATCAGTTGTGGTACGAAGAACTTGCTGTTGCTTTTAGCAAGATCGAGAAAAAAAATTTGGCTAAAGACCTTGTTAATAAAGGTGCAAATGTTGCTAAATACTGTTAAACTGAAATTAAAAGGTCATTTGTTCATTTTTTATAATCGCCATTTTCATGTAAAACTCAGAAGCCAACATTGGATTGGTTATATTGATTTACATTTTAATAATATACATGAAAAAATTTCTCAGTTCACATTGGTTAATTAAGAGCAGTGCAATTTATTGTAAATACCAGTGGAAAAAAATAAGAAACACAATGCAGAAAAAAGGAAATACAGTGCAATTTTTTTAAAAAAATTTGCTCCTGATTAGTTAATCAAGCAAAGAAGTGATCTAAGAGCCAATCAAAATAAAACATTTCAAAGGCGTGAAAGTTAAATTAATGTAAGCAAAGTAATAGCAATGTCTGGTGCAAGTTTACGTAAATTTTCCTTAGTGAACGAGCTTACACTTCACCGTTTGCAAGACGTGCTTGGAAAAAAATACGAACACTGCCAAAAGTAGTTAGCTTGTTCTAGCTGCGTGTGTGAAAGCTTTAGTGTTATAAAAAGTAATATCCAATGGAATTGTAATATACGAGCCAGCTAGAATTAAGAAATGTTTTCATGTATATTAAATCCTTCATAACTGAGCTCGAGGTCTTTTGGAGAAATATCGGACCGTGGTCTTTTTGCACCAACCGACCCCGTAGTAAAGTAAAGATCGTGAAAGCGAGGTTATTAAAATGTTTATTATATACGGCATTATTTGACCTGAAACAAAGCTTGCTTTCTTTCTGGTCCTTGCTGTTTTGTAAGATTTGGCTTTCACTTTTCTAGTTTTTGTTAGTAAAAATATATCATTTCTAATTTTGTATCGTCTGCATAATTAAAATCTTTTTATGAGTTTTTCCTTTTACTCATATTCATAAATCTTTTTTTCGTTTTGCTTTTTTCAAGTTTGTTTACATTTTACATTTGACTATAAAATTACGCATTTTGGACTGTGGTCCATTCATTGAATTAAATAACCCTCGAACGCTAACTGCCATACTTTATTCATGATTGGTTAAAGCCAGCTTGAGCACAGTAACATTTACACTCCCCCCTGATAACGTGCTTATTCGACGGCAATAAGTATTCCACGTACAAGGAGTTATTTGGCTCTTTTTTTTGTGTTTTTATTATTATTTATTTATTTCTATGAGCTGTTAAATATTAAAAGGATATAGGAAAAGAAACAAAAGAAGAATCGCAAGGAAATGACAATTAACGATCGATGCTATTTCAAGCGATATAATTCAAACTAACACAAAACCATAAAGACGTCTTCGGAAACAGTTTACACACTGTACAGTTCACGGTCGATAAGTAATGTTTATCAATAGCTCATAAAATTTCGTTGGTTTGTAAACAAAATCAATTTAGTTAACTGGAATCTGTAACTTCGTTGTCCATTTTGAATATAACGGTTTCATTAAAACGTTTGCTGTACTTGAAAAGCCTAAGGGTGAAGTATTTGTCGGCAGTGTACGTAATCAATTTCATCTTGTGGTCTTCATCAGGGTCATTGGTCAACTCAGGAGTATGATCATCAAAGATGTTTAAATGACTTGATTTAGCGCTAATGATGACAGACTTCCATGATTATTATACTGCGCAGGTTTTTGCTTGAGTTTATGTCATGTCGTTTCTTGATTTTAGGTTCTCTTCTCGTCACACCCATGTGTCCTCAGATTTTCTTTTCAGAAGTTGCTTGTATCTCTTTGCCTGAGGAGATTTGGAATTAAGAATGTCAAATACCCTGTCGATGATTCTTGTAAATTTCACTGTAGTCTCACTATTTTTGGCTTTCTAAAGTTTCACTGAAACATTCAAGAATTTAATTGTATTTGCCATAGATGAGCTAAGAATTTGGGCTCTGTCGTGCTCTACTGATTTCTTTTAAAATTCAATTCACTTTCATAAGAAATTAGTAGGGCACAACAGAATATATGGGTATGCACCTCCCCAATTGAATTTCTAGTTTAGACTCTGGGCTCAGGTATATGTCCTATTGCGTGTCGCAAGATCAATAAAAGATCAGCAAACAGGAGTGCCACAGGCAGCCTTGAAACCTTATTTAAGTGCAATCGATTTGCGTAAATATTAATTACTTTCTTTGATTCATGTGCAATGCTTGTCACGCGCGCAATTTAGTTTAACACCATGCACGTATGTTTGTTTACGCATGTATTCAGACTGCATGGCTAGTACAGTTTTTGAATTAAATGCTGCCAATCTGCGATGCCTTTGAACATTCAAAAATATGAAGGATGACAAGGTAAGTGGCCTTAAATTATATACGTTTTGAAAAATTTTTGCTACAAGCCCTAAAAACATTGATGTTTTTCATACAATATAAACAAATTTTAATGTTGAAAATACTGCAAAAATATAGTAAAAACAAACGGTAATTTTGTGTTGAAAGTTTCCTACCTTGTCAAAGTATAAGACTGCTAAGACCATAAAAAATTGAAGTTAAACAAACATATTGCACAAGAATAAGAATTGGTGTTCAATACATAAATCGATTGTATAAAAAACTCAAATGGATTTCTAGGACGCCTATTGGGATGCCGTAAAAGGTTGTTGACTTAATGGAAACACTTAAAGTTGCCTGGATAATTAACGGCTTAAAAACAATGTTAGCCATTTTTGTTATGTTGAAGCAGGTCATTGAAAGAATCTAAAAAAAAATTAAAGACAGCGAAACAGGAGGAAGGCGGGTTGTCTCAAAAGTCAAATTTAGCATACGTCAACATCAACGAATGAAGTGAATCCAAACTCATCCAATAATAGATACTGACATGATTATTTTTCTATGTTAAATTAAAAGTGTAATTAAAAATAACTTGCTCCCAAAAACGGCAAAGCTAAAAAGCATTTGAAACATATAGGGGGTAAAATATCGTGCATGTTGTTTAAGCCTTTGTCAATCTTTTTGTTAGTCTGAACACATACGCTCAGCTTTTAAATCGTGGGTTGTTCAAGTGTTTTTTTTCATATGTCTTTTTTATAATCTTCACCTATTAAAGATTGATTTGAGTTTATATTAATCTTAACACCTATTATTAACGATAGTTCTTTGTGAATAAGCGCAGTGTTTGTCACTAATTATAGAATTCTATCAAATGGATTTCCTCTTAATGAATTTGTTGAATTTAAAGGAGGGAATTTAAACTATAAGTTCTGTAGATGGCTGTATATATTACATTGTGTAAACTTGATATTTGATTTAAATAAACTATTTTGTGGTAGGTAAGTGCGTTTATAACTCAACGTAAATGATTTCTTCCTTACGAAGGAACTCATTGTTTTTTATATTCCGTTTTTTCTTTTCTTTCGGACAGAAGTGTAACATATTTCTTGTAATAAATAAGAAATGTCGTCGATGCTTTGGGATTAATACTATTATTCGGCAATAAAAATTCTTGAAGAAGTCATATGTCCGTATTCTAAAAGCTCACTTACACTCACACTGATTAAGTGCAAAAAAATGTTATTTTAGAATGTCAGTCACCTCATACGCAGAAGTTTTGGAAGATGCTGAATGTTGTGAGTAAACAAGAAAGATATATAAGATATATATATAGTGAAAGCTCATAATAATTCAATTCCTAACAAGTTGTTAGTAATGGAATTATGAGCTTAACAAGTACTTGGATGTTTACAGCAATAAAAATGTATACCGCCCTCAAAGCTCTTATTCTAAAAAGGCTTTGCAACGGACGATGCAAAAAAAAACCATATGAAAAACCTTGTTAATCAACAACATCTTGTCCATTAATATCTTCGTAAGCAACGCCGCCATATTTAACTGTGTTTTGTAAAGTTAGCGATGCTAAGTAGCTAACTCTAACTACCTTTTAACTACAGCTAGCAATAATTACTTTTTTATACAACTGACATTACTCAGGCTAACTGCATGAACGTGCTGTAATCATTTTAACCCTTCAATATATAAAGGTTTCTCTTACGATAATTGTATTACGAAATTTTCGAAGCAATAGCAGGTGACGGCTTAACACAAAGGGACTGTTTAATACAGAACCTGTATCATTTTGTCAACTGTACATATAACATGTTGTAATAGCAAAATATTCAAAACCGCTGAATATTTGTTTATATTACCAGTATAAATAAATTATGTTTTAGATAGGTATAAATTGGGTAGATTTAGAGCAATAAAGAGCATTTTGAAGTTCACTTCTCATGGTATCAAGTTATAAGGTATGAAACACACCATTTAAACTGAAATAAGGGTAGGGCTATCCACATGAACGCACTCGTACCTATGTTTTCTTAAAAGTGCTTACGCAATTATGTCTTTCAAAAACTACGGCGCGAAATGAATCACTCAGAAAATATCAAAAAATACCTCATTGACATTATCCAAAATGCAGACTGCAAAAAAGGCTTGATTTTTTTATCCAGATAAGGTTTGAAAATATTTATTTAAAGAGTAGGTTCACAATCAAAACTTAGACTATGGCATTGAAGAAAAAAAAACTTACCCCTGATGCAACTATGAAGTCTTATTACATAAAAATTTTAGTTTGACAACAATGTTGTCAATACACAAAAACTTTACTCGTATTTATAGATATGGGTAAATATCGTGCTGATTCACGTTGACTACCACAATTTGTGTTTTAACAGATAGGAAAACTTTTATTTCAAAATATGTTGTCTTAAACAGTTCTAAACTATACAACAAGGTTCTAAAGTGTTTTTACCAAAAAATACATAAGTTTAAGATGATTTAATCTACCTCTTTCGAGTGATAATGACATATCCGTCTCCTTTGTCATTAAAGGCTGACTTGTTCACTTGATTTTTTCCTGCATTATAAGATCCACCTCCACCACCACAAGATCCGTACACATTTTCTCCGGATGCTCCACCTGAGTAACCACCTCCACCACCTGGTCCTCCACCAGAACCATATGCCCCACCACCACCTCCAAATCCACCAACGGCATTGTTAAGCTTGGCACGTCCTCCTGCTCCTCCATTTATAAAAGCAAAACCTCCTTCTCCTCCATTTCCATACTTTCCACCAAACTGTTTACTACTTCTTCCATTGCTGTAAAATCCACCTCCACCACCACCTAGTAAACATCATAAAATTATATATAAATTTTATATTGTTTTACTTCTGATTTGATTGCAAACAAAAAATGCATCACAGGGCTAATATGATTTATATGAGAAAGTTTGTTATCGATAATAATAAATCTTGGTGTAATGGTTAGAGCTCATACATAGTAATTTCAGTATCCCTTAACAACAAATTTTTCTCGTAATGATTTCAAGTTATCAAAAATGTGAGCCTAAATACCGTAAATTCAAAATCTGCTACAACCTGAATTTCCTGAATCAGCCTGCTTTGCTCCTTGCCCATTTACTCCTCCAGCCCAGTTTCCACAAGGTGTGACACATTTGTTATTTTTTCCAGATGTTTTAGTGCTCGCATCACAGTTATCTAAACGTTTGCTCAGAGATTCTATACCACCACCACCTCCAGCAACCAGTAGGGGTACATTATTGATCCTAGCAACAAAAGAACCACCGCCACCTCCTGATGTATAGGCACGGGTATTGACGGGTGCCTTTTGCCCAACCAGAATTTTAATAATTTCTCCTTTGTTTATTTCAAAGTTCCTTTCATATAAGCTCCACGACCTAAAAACGATAGATTATCCTATTATAAGTTTAAGCAAATCAAAATTATTGCTTTTGTATAGGAAATAATTCTTTTAATTGGAACTGCATGGCCTCGCATAAAAGCACAAGCTTCTGAAACGGAAACACAGGTACTTTGATTTACAGGAAAAATATTGGAATGAAAATATATAATCTTTGTTTGTATTTTCTTTACAAAATAGGCTTTTCAAAAATATATTGAAAAGAAAAATTCATCATTAAATTTATCATTTAAACGAAGTTTTGTTTATGTTTTCACCATTCAAAATTCTTGCGCAAACCATGCAGTCTGTTAGATTTTTTAGAGACGTTTCCGCGCATTATAAAGCTATAGAGTGTTTTCATCAGTCGCTATGTTGGGGGAAAATCGCTGATAATGAAAAGAATTTATGTTGATTTAATGTTATTTTGAGCATCGGCACTTTGATGTTCTCTCCCCAACACATTGAACTAAAATGAGCAAAGAAGAAGCAACTGTCAAATTGATCAAATGTCAATACAAACATGCAACGACAAACAAAAAAATGTCTTTTTCGATTTTGTTTATTTTCTCTTCGAGTTGCGAGTTCAATCAATCAATTTTTACTCCGTGAGAATTTCGAAACATTACACGCGCGTGTCTGGGGTAAAGTCACGGCTTCAATTATTTCAGGTAGCGTTGCACGTATTTACTTCAATGCCCCAACATGGCCACTTTGAAGTCACGCGCAAAAATGGCGACGCATGAAAACACTATATTCGATTTTCCGAATAATTAGTTCAAATTTTTTTTGTAATAAATTGTTACGTCACGTTACAATTTGTGTCGTAAAGTATTCAACTGTCATTATCATTGACGCCTGCGCAAAAGAAAGGGTTTCTTTAGTGCCAAATAACAGACTAAACACTCTGGCTTATGTAAAAGAAATCATATTTTTATTTGCTTTCCCATAATATAAATTTAAGTAGTTGAATATTTTCATACGAACACAATAACAGTTTATGTTCAGTCGCATTTTTCATACATTATGAAAACAATCACTTGCGAAAGTTTGATAAATTTTGAAAAATTGTATGTTCAAGATACGAAAAAAACAAAGTAAGCGATGTTAAATCCATTTACTTTCTTATAGGTTGGTGAATTTTGCTATTCGCAAGAAAAATTAGCGCAGTTTTGAGCATTTGCTAAATATACAGCTGCAAAAGTTATAAAATTTGAAAATTTCATCGCCATGTTAATTGCTGCCGAGCATGAACGAGGCAGCACACTATTCATGACTCCTATTTCACTCGACCCAGTCTTTTCACAATCTATGTACTTTTCAACACTCGGATTTGGCGTCTGTCCGGCAAGATTTTTAGGGCACGACGTCACAATTTAGAACATTTTTGAATTGAGGTGGATGATAAAATATTAAGTAGAGCACGTATGTTTTTTCGATTGATAAACATTAAAAAACATTTTAAGATTTAAGTCTTTTATATTTTTGATTTGTCGAACGAACAGAAAGCAAAGTTTCCTGGAATACTTGATACCAGCAGTAGTATGGCTTCATTAACAGCTGCTGATTTGCACCAAGGCGATCCACTCGGATAAAAAAGCAATGTGCTTTCATGATATTATCGACGCTTTTTACAGCAAGAACATTTTGTTGACTGCATCACATATGGTAGAAAAAAGTACACTTTTATCGGCACAAATATTCCATTAACCGCATATTGGGCAAAAGTACATTTAGCTAATTTGCTATAACATTAGATAATAAATATGTAAAAAATCTCAATATTGACCTTACAGTTTTAGAGTCAATGTTTCATGTAGTATAACTGTTTCAGCATGCTAAATGATTTTTGTTTTAAATTATGTACGTACGTGTAATGGGATGGTAAAAAAATACTTGACACGTGTGAAGCCTCTCCATTCACAAATTAATTATATAACAATAAGCAATATAGTCCTACCATAATGAGAAAATACTAATAAAACTACACGGCCTGTTGGCCCAAAATTAAAGATTCATTCAGTTGTATATTATCTTGTAAACATTGTTTATTCTTTTCATATACGGAGTAAACTTTGCTCCATTTATTTGTGAACGACAATGTTACTCTTCACAAAGCCTTAGGACGACAAATGAAGATATGGTATAATCTAATAAAAACGGTTTTCATTCATAATAGCAATGAATTTAATGTTAAATTTTTCGAGGATGTTTCTATAATCGTCGCAAGTAAAACACGGGAAGCGGATATACTTATGCTCGCTCGAGCTTGCCGTCGGCTTTCCGTACGCTTGATTTCATTTCTTCTAAGCACTCGTCCCATGGGTGAAAAGGGAAGCCCGAGCAGCATTTTCCTTGCGATAGTAACTTCTAGTTTAATAATATTGTTTTTAAATATTGAGTTTCCAATTAAGTGATAGGAAACTACAATAATAGCAAACTTTAAAAACTTTACCTCTGCATGTAGAGCCATATTTGTCGTAACCTCCTTGTGCGCCGACAGCAGTAATTTCATAAGTTCCAGTGTAAGGCACTGTCCAATACTGGATACCTTTTGATACGGTTACCATATTTACGTGATCCTGACCATTGTAAAATTGACCAATTGATGTTGGACCGTGGCGACCAGTGGCTCCAAGATGTGTAAAATTTGCATTGAATTGACGGAACTCAACTATATTACAATACAACTATGGAATTGAATTATCTAAATTGCATAGAAACCTTACGTGTTTTTACACTATTCAATATACGTGATATCAAATGCCATATTCCAAAATTTTTCTGTAATCAGACAAATAGTTTGCTCGGTTTTACCGCTATGGGACTGGGCTTGCGAGTACAGCTGATGTCATGTGAGTAACACAGGTCTGAACTGTCGTTAGAGATATGTGAAAAGTATAGCAAGATTTTGTCATATAAGTCCAACTTAGTCGACTATAACCGGTAGGTTTAACGTTTTCTGTCCATAAGTCAAAGGCCTTCACTCATTCGTTTTAAACGGCCAATTCTGTTGAAATAAGTGGCTCGACTTTGTTGCGCTAAAGCGAGTAAAATGTCCAATATCAGCTATGTATAGTATTTGCATTTTACATTTAAGCCCAAGAACTTGACTAGGCGGTATATATTAATTTGCAAGAGAAGCAAGCTTGTGTAGAATATTTCTTCCCAGTCATTGCTGGCCCAATCTTCTCCTATGTATTAGGGGCACAAAAAGCACTTGTTTATATGAGATCCAGGATGGATTGACTCCCAAAACGGGAGATGAATGAGACCTCGGTTTTATACATTTTCTATATGTAATTGTCCTTTGTTTGTATGGAGTTGGGATGTCTTTTTGTCTCGCGCCGGTTAGTCTTTAGACAAAGGCTTTGGCAAATGAAGGCTGAGGAGATGTGATATGATGGTTTTTTAATCTCAATTACTTTTTGTCTCGTTGTAAAAACTAGTATAAACGCGGGATGTATAATACCCGTCTTAGAAACATCCCGTCATACCTCCCGATGTAAAAAATAAATATTATACCACATGTGTTTTTTTCACTCTAGCCTAGTGTTGCTGCTAAAACTACTGTCGAAGTCTATGTCAAAAATTTCATCTTCTGATGAATCTAATGATAAAAATGCCGACCTAAATAAAGCCAATTTTTTAAAAAAAGGATGCTATGGATAATTTACAGCAGACAGTTTGTCTTGAATTAAATAGAGCCGTGCGAACTGTGTTCCTTACATGACGTCACGACACGAACTTGATACCAGACCCCTTAGTGAAAAATATATATGGTAAATTTGGATTTTTAACAGTAATTTCTTAAGGTAGGTTTAATGTAAAACAATATACTTTTTTGAATTTGTTAATTTCACTAGTTGTTCCTTCAAACAATACTAAAATCCTGTAAGGTTTATATGCACTTTAAGCAATGGAATACAAATATGTTTTATATGAAGCGCAAGCTAGCTTGAGACAAGAAGTAATCAATCAAATGTTAAATATCGAAGCACAATCTATTTTCAAATTAATTACAAGCATAAATAAGTAGAAATATTTTTCTGTCGACGTACCGTCAGTTCTGTTTAAGCATAATGATGCATACGACCTTTCATATGATTTAACTTCTGGTTTGATGTCATCACAGCAATCAGGAGAAAGTGACGAATTTTTCTTACACAGTACCTGATAAGCATCCATATTTAAATCAGCCAATCTTTTGATTTTATCACAGCACAAAGAGTGACTCCTGGTGATAAAAATATAATTTTTCAAACAGCTAATTAAACTTGAATAGATATCTTTAATTATTTAAGTTTGAATAGAATTTTTTCTGACGCAAATGACTCTTGAATGACTGTCTTGGAGTTTATGTCATATGAGCAACAACAAATGCCTGGTGGATAAGTAATTATAACAATCTGAGTGTCATTGAACGCAATTGAAAGGAATTGCGACAGGAAAAGCATCTTTCGTAGCTACAAAAAGTCAAATTTCCTGACCCAATAGGATCGCACGATAACAATGTCTGTTATCATTGCCTTCAACATAAAAATTGCTGGTGGACATGCTAATTCAAAAACTACGAGAAGAAGAAGAAGTAAAATGAAAAAGGAAATAAAACAGACAGAAAGTTGAAAAGAGAAGTGAAAAAACAAATCTTCGGAGTGAACACATAATAGGTAATATGTTGGAGAAAAAAGAGAAGTGATATATATGATGGGGAAAAGTCAGATTAAGGTTTCTTGTTTTAAGGAAACAAGATTTAGGGAAGCAAAAACAAGATACTTAGGATAAAGCTTAAAAAATTGTGGCACAATAATGCTAAAAAAAGAACAACAAGCATTGGTACAAAAATCATTTACTGGATGTAGTTGGGAATTTTGAAGAATAAAAGATAGTTTGTTATGTCTAAGGATTAAGAAAAGTAGAATAGTGGTTGATATATATAGAGTGTATGTACAGCTGAATAAATGAGTGGCATTAATCTGAGTAAAAGATTCTGACAGGTCCTAGATGATACATATAAAAAGATACTTAAGGTGGAAAGAATTGTGATCTAAGCTGATTTGAAAGGGCATGTTGGAAAAATGAACAGAAGAAATGAGGTCTTGGGGAGCTATGGAACTGTGAGGAGAAATGTTGAAAGACCGTTTATCGTAAAATTTTTGTAGAGAATGGACCTATAGCTGTGTGAAGCTGTTCTAAGTGTGTGCTGTGAAATAAGAAACTATCGGCTAAATTAAAGGAAGAGATTTATAAGAGTGTTATCAGATCGGCGATAATCTATGGTGTGGAAACTATAACAGTAGCAGTTGAAAAAAGGGTCGACTGGAAGTAGCCGAGCTGAGAATAGTCAAGTGAGCACTTGGAGTCACTAGAAAGACAGAAACAGTAATTAGAACGTGCAAATCGAAGCAAAATTCATAAGGACTGGTTGAAAATTAAAAAAGGATGGGCAGCAATGTTTGCACATGTAATCAATGATGTAGTCAGCCTGCAAATTTGGTCCTGCTATGTTAATTTTTCTGTAATCACTCACTGCAAAACAACCGATTTCTAAAGAAATGAATAATGTTAATAATCTAAAATTTACATAGCAGGACCAAAACTTGCGGGCTGGTTACGCCACTCTATGTAATAATAAGAAAAGAGGATTTTAGTGGAGACAGTTACCAAAGATGATAGTGTCTTTCTAGAAAAAAAGAAAAATGCCGTGTAAAAATGCATAGATTTTGCGAGGAATATTTTATATATGAGAAAGGTGGGTGTCAAATGTCAAGATCGGAATAAATGAACAGCTGAAAGAGTTAAAAACACAAGCAAAAACTTATTATATTCAATCAACATAAAATCTGACGAAAAACATGAATCAAACAAACACGAGCACACGAAACTTACATTTGTATAGATCCATAGATAACTACAAGTAGGAGCGAAAATCCAAAACTAAAATTTGTCATCCTTGTTATAGTTCGTGGTGTCGAAAGATGAAAATGAGGCAAAAATCTACATAATTGCAAATATGTGGTTATTTGGTTTACTGATTTACACATATGCATATGAGAGAACGAATAAAGAGTATGTGCAAATATACATATTTTGTAGCAATTGCACAAGTAATTTTTTTGTTAATTATATTAATGTGAACGCTTTTGTTTTGTTTTCGTGAGAGGTTAGTCGCCGTTTTTTCGTTTCATCTAGTTTTAGAATTATTGCTAATTTCTCAAAATTTTATAGAACTTAAGTATGAAAATAGGTTTAAAACTGCATGCCAATATGTTTGCCTCAATTATGTTGCTGTTTGGTGAGATAACTATAAGTAATAATTAATTTCTTGCCAAATTTTTGTCTAATCTAGTAGTCCGTTTTCAGTAAGGACTTAAATAAATCGTTCAATCTTCAATTTTATACGTCAAAAAAAAATACAAAAGGTTGCTTTGAAGAGTTTATTTGTTACTAATATCAGTAGAAAATCTAAAAAATTTAATTAAAAACTTTATTGTCTTGAAGGCAAAAAAATTTATAATTTAAATGTACAGCTTGATATCAAAATGACAATAAGAATTAAAATAATCTTCAAATAGAAAATGAAGTGCTTTTTGCTTTACATGGTTGATTCTAATCAAAGAAAAATCTATAAATTTGCTTCTTTTTTATATATCAAAAGTTTTCATAGTTATATTTGTGAATGAATTATACATATAAATATATGCAAAATTCGACTTTTATACGACATCCAAAAAAACCTTTACATGCGAGCAAAATTTTGTGGGTAACCCCTGGTTAATTGTCGTAAGAGACAATTCAAGTATGATGCAACTATTTATTATAATTAGCTTTTAAAGTAAAACCAAATGGGACACATTAGATTACATACAGAAAAATATTATGAATAGTTGAATTTAAAAAAGAGTATAAATATCTGTAGATTTTGCAATTTTAGACTTATAGCTAGTTGTTATATAAAGCTGTGTAGAGCGAGGAATGGCAATAAATATTTTAAAAAGATCACAACACTTGTGATTTAGCTTTTAACTGTTAAATTGCAATCTCATATCCAAATTAAAATGTTCATGTTTTCGCATGGCCAACAGGATTCTTACAATTAGCTACAACAAACTTTTTATGTGATCATTTCTTAAATTATCGTAGAAAGAAATTAATTTTCTGTTATTATATGAGAAAATGACTGACAACGTTTATAAAATTACCAGGATATAAATGAGTGAATAGAGATTAAAATCACTTAACTATATTAAAGTACAATTTTAATATTCTTCTTATAAAACCTGATTTTCTCCTGATTGTTTCAATAGTCAATGCGTAATAAAAAATGTAAAAGAATAAAAATAAAAAAGAGTAATTTTGTGTCTTTCTTCTACGGATAGGTACCAATGACATTTACGTTCTGCTCTCAATTTATACTTGGATACGTAATGCCCCATTATATACATATCAATGGTTTTCTTGACTATATTATGAAAAGATGTAGTTGTCATTCTAAGGTAATCATTTAGCCTAATTGTTTTCTTAGTTTGAGAAAATGGACAGATGAGAGCAGTTGCATGGGCAGCAAAAGCTTATAAATTTTTCTTCTTTATGTTTTTTCTTGCGTTTTGCTGTTTGCTTTACGAAGTTTGTTTATACTTGAGTGTAAAGTTATGCATTTTGTATCGTGGTTGATTACGAGAGAATAATGGACCGGATTCAATCACAGCGCGCCATTTTGAAGAAGTGGCGCTTGCCATATAATAAAAAGAAATAATCTGCATCTTTTCTTTCATATCATGAATCTTAAGTTTTTCTCTTTTTTATAGTTGATGTAATTGGCTCAAAACTACTGTCGTAAACATTTTGTGCAAATATTTTGTATAGCGATACTTTGATGGGGGATCAGTACGATCCACTTCCGTATTTTGTCTTTTTACGCTTTACATGTCATCTCTCATGCTTTTAAAAGTAATGTGTATCTGTAATATATTGCATATAAGCACCTGCATTGCGTAAGAGTTCATACTGCAACAAAGAACAGGCTTACCAAGCTTTAAAGAGAGTAACTTCTTAAAGAAAAGCGCCAATTTAAAATAGCATAATATTTACATACGAGCACATTTCAATAAAAATGTAATATAAATTTGATAAATACAATTGATAAATACACGTACTTGTTTTAATTTATCCGCAGTTTTCTTAAGGAACTTTTTCCAGGGAGCTCTGTTCTTATTCGATTTCTGCAAGAAGTGCAAGCGTCTCAAACAAGAAATGAATTTATAAATTTAAAATGCAGAAAATTGAAAGTGCTTCAATCTTTGTGTTCTTAAGCAGATTGCTTAAACGGAAGTCTTCCTATATTTGTATAGGGTTTGTTTATTCAATTGCACGAGTTTCTTTTCTATTTCTTGAAGTACGAAAATTTCGCATGATTTGGTTCACGCAGTGACTTAGCTACTTTATCTTGGCAAAATACAAAATTTGTGACTCTCTAAGAATTGTTAAAAATCACGAATCAATCTTTAAATGCATGTACATGCTAATTAATATTGAAATATTCAGAAAATATTTGATGAAACAGTTAAAAATAGTTAATTGTCATTGTTTCAGGAGCTCCACATTTTATTAGCTATACACGATGAATTAATTATGTTAAAAAGAAATTATTGTTTTGAGAATCGCATTGTTTTTTGTAAGAATTATTAACTTTTTAAAATTTTAAGTTGGTAATTGTCGACATATTGATATATTATAGCATATTCAAGAATAAACATTGTTATTGTTGTAACATGTAAATATCACGTGATCGAAAACGTATATCGAACGATTATATCATCATAGTTATTATTGTATCTTCCACCGCCAAGTTATATGTATTGTCACTTACCTAAACGAACTTTCTTTCTTCAATAAACGCAACTATTCCATTAGAAGTTAACAGTTATAAGAAATCATAAAGCCAAACATAGACATCAGTTTTTTATCTTTTACGAGTATTTGTTTTTCTAATTGTATGAAAGTCGGCACGAATTGCTTTTGGTTGATTAAAATTGCTTGACGTGTATGGCGCGCCGAGATGGACAATATCACCAAAATCGAAAATATTTACAACGAAACACATTATCGTATGTCGAAAATAATATACTGGCAACTTTTTCAATATTTGTAAAACGAAACGCAAAAGCAGCAGATAAAGCCCTTCGCAA